GTTGCACAAGTTTCACTATACTTCAGTGGAAAGAGTACCTTTGGCCTTCCCATATCTGCATGCCTTTTCCTTACATATAAATTTACATGTATATGCACCTTGACAGCAACATCACCCCTGCACTTAAAACAGAGGAGAATTAGTCAAGAAGATGAGATTCTCCAGTTATTTATTTACTTAAATAATTTGACCATAATTAGTTTTACTTTCAATCTTTACTTCAATTTAAATTTTACTTTAAAGTTTAATTTAAGGCTGGGGGCGGAGGTGTGGTGGCGCACACCTGTAATCACAATACTCTGGGAGCTGAGGCAGGAGGATCACTGTGAGTTTGAGGTCAGCCTGGGCTGTGAAGTGAGTTCAAGACCTGCCTCAACTCTGTAGTGAAACCCTGTCTCAAAAAGCATACACACACACGGGGCTGACGAGATGGCTCAGTGGTCTAAAGCACCTACTTAGAACAAACTTAGCAAAGCACAGGGACCACGGTTCAATCCCCCAGCCACCACATGCCAGCCAGCCCGCCCCCTGGTGGGCTGAGCTGGCCACACACACACACACACACACACACACAAATAAATAAAAATTAAGAAAAAAATTTAAAAAAAAAGCATACACACACAAAAAGTTTAATTTCAGGTTTATTTATTTATTTAATTTAAGGTTTAAACTGAACCAGAAAACCAGGACAGTGTGTCTTCCATGACGCACAGAGGTCAGAACCAGGCAATCCTAACATATCCTACTAAAAGTTAGAAGGACAGTTATCCTTATGGGGTATAACACTAAAGGATCACAAAGCAGGCTTCTCAGTGTCCTATCTCCATCTTCATATAGTTATCAAGCTGTATTCTTATTCCTTGGACTTTTCTGTCTATCTGTTATACTTGGAGCAAAACATGAATTTTTTTTGTTGTTGTTGTTGTTTTGGCAGAACCGGGGACTGAACTCGGGCCCTTGCGCTTGCCAGGGAAGCGCTTATTCCACTGAGCCATCTCCCCGGCCTCTAAAACATGAATTTTTTAAAAAATGAAATCCTTAATATTTCAGCAAGCGCTGCGACCCTTTCTAGGTGTGCGGTATGTCACCTCCTCTAATGTTGCTTACATACATAATGTTCAGCTCCCTTCCTCAGCAGCATCAGGAGATCTTCTATCCTCTTCTTGAGTTTTCAGAAGTGTCCCCTCCTCTCCTGGCTACAAGGCAGTTCTTGGAGAAATTCCTAGCTTACACCTATGTGTAAAAGTCTATACATTTTTTTTTTTTTTTTGGTGGTACCAGGGATTGAACTAAGGACCTTGTGCTTGTTGCCAGGCAAGCACTTATTCTACTGAGCTATCTCCCCAGCCCCTGTACTTTCACTGCTTAGGGAGCTGAGATGTGACAGCCATCAAGCTACCACTAGGTGGTAGAGTACTTGATTCCTTCCTTTGGAGAGAGTCTTAGGATCCTTGTTATGTGGTTGTGGTAGGATCGGGCACAATCAGGTACAACACAGTCACTGTGGAGAATTGCTGGTCTTTTCTTTTTCTTTCTTTCTTTTTTTTTTTCCGGAACACAGGGATTGAACTCAGGCCCTTGTGCTTGCCAGGAAAGCACTTATTCCACTGAGCCATCTCTCTGGCCCTCTTTGAAGTCTTTTTCACCAGGGGCTTTCCTGCTCCTCTCTGCTTCCTGTGATGCTGCAGTTCAGCTCCATCCTTGGGGTGCTTTACTTCAGAGTATTTTGCTGTACAGTAGCATCATAAGTGGAGCTACCTCTCTCCAGTGCTCACATTATTTCCTATATGACTTCTTAAAGCAGTTGAATGTCCCATTTCATGCTTAAGCTAGACCATGATTTCTCGAACCTGGCATGATTGATCTTTTGGATTGGACAGTCCTTTACTGAGGAGACTGCCCTGTGCATTGCAGGATTTGCAGCATCCTTGAGCTCTGCCCAGTAGATGCCAGCAACCTTCCCCTTGTAAGTTGTGACAACCAAAAACTGTAGCCAAACATTGTCAAGAGTCTTATAAGACAAAATTGCCCCTGCTTGAGAAACACTTGGCAAGATTGGCTTATGAATTACTTCAAGGATCTGGAAGAGAGCCCCATTTGTGTGTTGATCATGTTAAATTTTATGATCCCCAGTGTATTAGATTTGTTTAAGGAATGGAACTGGGCTGGGTGTGGTGGCACACAATTACAATCCCAGCACTTGGGAGGCTGAAGCAGGAGGATCACCGATGAGTTAGTTTGATGTCAGCCTATGTACGCTACATAGTGAGTGCAAGGCCAGCATGAACTACAAAGTGGGACCCTGTTTCAAAAATCAAAATCAAAACAAAACAACAATAACAACAACAACAACAACAACAACAAAAATGCAAACTAGGGTAGTGGAGAGGTTTAAAACTACTACTTCATCTTGATAGTTCTTAAGCCTTCAATGCCAGACAAAAGTGTGGTAGCTGTGAAGAATTATAAAAGGCCAAATTTCTTCATTGCTTCCCATACTGATACCTAGAAGAAGTTATGAAACTTGTAACAGACATCAAGTAGGAACTAGAATGGTGTTTTTGAGGCAGAAGCTCAACTCTCCACAACTCTGAAGATACAGCCACCAGGCCATGTCCAGGACAGTTCTCCCTTGACGGCCTGGGCATAGCTTTATGAGACCCCTTGATCTCAGGTGTCCTTGATGAAGCCTTCAGTTCTCCTCTCTTTGAACCCCAGGACTTCTGTCAGATAACCACCAGGCCACAGTGGTCACCAGCTACTGCCGCCACTGATGTCTCCTCTCTGTAGTGCACAAGATGCTGACAGTCCCAAGAGGTCATTTCCAGGAGCTTCTGTATCCTCAGGCATGAGGGGACCAAAGACAACCCTGAGAAGTCCACTGCTGAACTTAGCCTCTCTATTGCCTTAAAACTTGATGTAACTGGGGAATCAGAGGGAGTTACTTCCTTTGGGATTAACTTTACAATTAAGAATTCTAAAAAAGCAAGAAGCTCTGAGTAGATTAAGAAATTGAAGGGCTGGCCAAATAGCTCAGCGGATTAAAGCACCTGCAAGCAGGTGCAGGGGCCAGGGGAGCCGGGGGTTCGATCCCTGGGCCTGCCGTGCCGGCCCTGCCCCTGAGGGGCATGGAGATGAGGATTAAGACTGGGCATAAATCCCAGCTCTTAGGAGGCTATAAACAGGTGGATCACTATGAATCCAATCTAGTAGTGAGACTCTGAACACCCTGTAGAAGCTTCTCTAAAATACAAAAAAAAAAAAAAGAAAAAGAAAGAAATATATGTGACTATGCCATCGTTTTCAGCACCAGGTGATCTTGGATTTACAGGGAAGGAGCACACCTCTGCACAAGGGTTTGGTAGGTTGCAATTCATATAATTACATGGCTAGATTGCCTAGTGAAAATCTGACATTTGGAAATTTCAGTCTCAAATGAAACTTGCTTTTAAGAGTAGAAAATGAATAATTTTCATTTAGAAAAAAAAATTCAATGATTTGATTCTAGTCAAAAAGGATCTTCTCAGGGCTGGGGAGATGGCTCAGTGGAATAAGTGCTTCCCTGGCAAGTACAAGGGTCTGAGTTCAATCCCTGGTTCCGCAAAAAAAAAAAAAAAAAAAAAAGGTTCTTGACGTCTTTAAAAATGTATTTAATACAGGGTCTCACTACACAGATTGGACTTTTAGCGATCCTCCTGTTTTCAACCTCCCAATCCCTGGGATTACAGGTGCATGACACCAAGCCCATTCTCAATGGCTGTCTCAGCATGCCCCGGGGGCGGGGCCAGCTCGGCACACTGGGGATTGAACCCTGGATACCGTGCTCTGCCTAAGCAGGCTTTTTAGTCCACTGAGCTATCTGGCCCCCTTCACACAGGATCAATGTATTTATGTAAAGCAAAATACTATGAAACACAGGGCTGAAGATGTAGCTCAGTGGCACAAGCCCTTGCCTGGCAAAAGCAAGGTCCTAAATTTAATTCCTGTTACAAAAAAAAAGAATGAAAGAAAGAAGAGATGATCTAAAATCAGATTTTTAGCAGAGTTAAACTCAAAAAGAAAACGCATTATTGGCAACACTGTTAAAGGACTTTTAATTAGGACTGTATCTGTCCTCCATGTTTCTTGAGGTGTTGCTTTGCAGGTCCTTCTCTTGTGTCTGTCTTCCTCCCAGCTCCATACACACAGCCTGTCAAATGTGTGGCCATGCAGTTTTTAACCCAGACACTTACTGTGCATTTTAGGCAGTTAATCAAATTCTGATAATGTTCCCACATGTGATGTGCAGCTTTCCTCCACTCCCTAAAATCCCCCCATTAGGGTTTTGTCTTTAGGGAGGGTCGGTGAGAAATAAGCACAAATGACCCTGAAGTATAAGAGGCAATGATTTTACACACTCTTTAGTGTGCATTTAATCAGGGAATTCCTCCAACATCTGGATGAGATGGTGACAGTCTTGATGCAGTGGAAGAGGTTTGAGGGTACAGTGGGTCAACCCTAAAGGTGGGGTCCTAGAAGGAAATGGACTATAATATCTGCCTCTTTGCATCTGGAGGTGTTGTTCTGCAGTTCTTTTGAAGGCACACTGGCCCTGGGACAGCTCTTTGTTGTTTGATGTTACGAGGCCATGGTTCCATCTGCCACAGTTGTGATGGGTGGGGAGGAAGAGAGCAAGTGATAAGGGGCAGGGGCGAGGAGTCTAGTTCTTCCCCTTTGACATCAAATGATCATCCCTCGTTATTCCTGTTTTAGCAACCTCGTCCTGGGCAAAGAGGCACCAAATCATTGGTTTTGCTCCCATCTGATATTCTGGGCATGCAGGAGAGGGCTGGTCACTCAACTTTTTTAAAAACCTCTAGTCTCCTCAGCTTCTCAGTGAGCTGCTATGTGATAGGAGGGATGGATCAAAGCTGAGTTTTCTCAGCCACTGAAGCTTGACCCCTGCCAAACTTCCTGTCTTTGAATAAACACAACAGAGACCATGCGAGAAGTAGCTACAGTTTAATACAAACCTGCACCAGAACACAATGTGTTGGGCTGTTTTGTTTTTGCCTCGAACGGTGGCCAAAGCACAGGACTGTGTGTCATCTTGGGGTTGACACAATCTTAGCACCATGACATTTACAGAGGAGTGAGGAAGTCACTTGGGTGCTGGAGGCTCCATCCTGACCCCAGGCTGTGCCTGCTGCCTCAGCAGCTGGAATAGGGTTTGGGTTTTCGCGTGGTTCTGTGGCTTTTTTGGGTCAGTATGGGAAAAGCCCTCATCATGGCATTGGCTTGACAGAGACCTACTGTGGACTCCTAGCACTACACACACACACGCACACACACACACAGAGTAGCACAATTTCCTGGTAACTTAACCACACAAACCTAGAGAGCAGCTAAGGCAAGAACAACAGTATTTATTCAGCAAGTACAAGACCAGTTTGAGAGCTGCATTCGGTGCAACCAGAGACCCTTTTTGTTCCAGCCAAGGGCCATCGGGGCTGGTGACGGAGCTGGCTGGATCTCTGCATGGGGCAGGGGATGGCTGTGGGGGTGACTATTCATTTGGCTTCTTGAACCTCCTTCTGATTTCCATCTAGAAGCTCCTGGGCAAGAATAGCGTCTATGGAAGGGTAGAGGTGGGTGAAATGGAAGGCCCATGTGGACTCCTCCAAGATGTGGTCTCTCAGTGCCCCGAGTCATGCATCCTTGGGGGGAGGCACTCCGAGAAGGTAAAGCTTTGTGAGCCCAAGCAGGGTGCTCTGCTCAGCCGGCCCCACCACCATGTAGCTCTTTGGCATCTGCCCAAGGCCATGACCCAGGAAGGGCTGAAAGGGATGAGATCACAAGCATGGTCCCAGGGGTCAGTGTCATGGTTTACCTTATCTATGGTGGCTTTCTCAAGTCCAGGTCCCTACCTCTATGTTATGGCTACCTTTGATCCCTGGGTTATTATCTCTGTCCTCTCAGCCCCTAAGTGAGGACACTGGGAGTGAATGGAAGATGAGGATGCAGCTCAAACCAAGAATACACATTAATTTGTTTATAACAAAGTTGAAGAAAAAAATCTATCTACTTGTGCAAAACAAAGCAGAATGCCTACTGGGGAGTAAGTCTTCAAGCTGGTTATACTCTTGGTGGGCAGCAACAGCCATTACCCTACGTCTTCCCACAATAGCTAGGCTGGACAGCCAAGGCCAAAAGGTGGTCATGGCCTACTTCTGGGGCCAGATAGCCAAAACCTTCTGTGACTCAGTTCCCACATATGTAAATTAGGGAGAATAATACAGTGCTGACTTGGTTCATGAATTTAATTTTGTTTTATCATTTTGGAAAATATGGTCATGTTTGTGTTTGTGTGAGGAAGATGGCTTCGGTCCTATTTGTCACCCAATGCAGAGTTTGCAAACAAAACTAAATTTTTGCCTAATGCATCTGCTTGCAAATCAAGTTGTTTGCAACAACGTACTTGTGAACCAAGGTGCCACTGCGTATGTCCCATTGTCATGAAGAACAAGTGAGAGCTTGCATATGGAAGCACTTTGATACATGAAAAGCATTACAGTAATATTCAGGGTATGACTATTAGTCAAGAGCCCAGGGGCCTCCTGCAAGTTTGGGGGGCTCAAACTAAAGGGATGACATGAAGCCACTTCCCTGAGGGGGAAACAAGGTGTATCAAGGGCAGGGGGCGGGGCTAGTTCCCAGATTGCTTGGGTGGATGATCCCTCCAGCCCCAGGGTTCCTGTTGGGGGAGCCTCTGAGGAGCTTCTGAGGAAGAGGACTGGACATGCAGGGCGATGAAGCCACTTCCAGTGAGGAGATGGTACTGACCACAGGACACCACAGCACCTGTTCCGGAGATGTGGGTTCTACAGCCCGTGGGCTGAAGCCTCCCTCCTTGGTCCCTTGGACCAACCACTCTCCACTCTCCACTCTCAGCAGGCATAAGACCTCTGGCCAATCCCAGAGGAGGAGTAGCCAGGCCTCTGTCTAGCAGGAGAAAGGTACAGGAAGGTGTGTGTGTGTGTGTGTGTGTGTGTGTGTGTGTGTGTTAGTGCTGGGAGTGACCAGGGGCAACGATGAGAAGGATCACCCTGCTGCATGCAAGTCTCCAGGGCTAGCATCAAGGCCTCCTCTCCAAATGAAGGAAACCTGACCATGAGGGGAGGGGAGGAGAAGGGCCTGGCCCAGGGCCTGTAGCAGCTGGAGAAGCCCGGGCAGGGGGAGAGGGGCTGCAGGCCCTCGCGCCCCGCCCTGTGCTCTCTGGTTGGTGGTGAGTGCAGCATCTCCTACGACCACATCTACTCCTGTTTCTATGCTATGCTAGTGACACGAAGCACCGTTATTTTCCACAGGATGCATAAACAAGTCAAACCAAACCACTGCGCAAACCAAACGTGCAAAACAAAACCATTTACACGCGCCTGGCACCAGCCTTGGACTCGTGCCCAGCTACCCTGCTGGGCTTGGGCCTCCCAGTGGGTGTGGGTGTGGAGCACAAAGAAGCTGGCAAAGGGCACAGGGCGTCCCAACCACACCCACACCCAGGATGTCCTGGGCATGGCTGGGGAGCGGACACCTGTCTGACTTGGGAAATGTCAGTGCAGGGCCTAATAGGGGGGTAGGAGAGGGAGGTCTTATAAAATGCATCTGCTAAAGTGCTCTGGACACCAGGCTGGGTGGCTAGGGCCAGGGCACTAAAGTCTGGACCTTCCTAGAGCCAGCACAAGAGGCAGTGGTGACAGGAGGGGCTGGGCAGGTGCTATGCATTGGGCTCTGTGCATAGTGTGGGTTCCCAGGGCCCAGAGAAGCCCACCCAGGCCAAGGCAGGAGAGGAGCACAGCAGGAGGACAGCTCAAAGTGCCTGTTATGGTTGGCTTGAAGCCCAGTGAATCACGTTCTGGCGAGGGGGCTCCCCGGGTCCTGGGCTCCTGTAGGCGGTGCTCTGCCCAGCCCAGCCTCTCCCGCCCCTTGCAGCTGCGGGTGCAGGTGGCAGCAGCGTATCCTCCCTTGCAGGGGCGTGGTCGCTCGGTGCCTTTACCAAATGCCGCTTGACCTGCCTCCAGGGGGCGCGAGAATCCGGGCGGAGGCTCGCTTTGGGACGTGGTCGTCGATCTGAGAACCTGTGGGTGGGGAAGCACAGAGGGTGTGTGAAGCAGGCTGCTCCTCCTGCCTAACAGGCCACAAGCACCTGGCTGAGAGGCTTACTACAAGCTGGGCCTGTGTTAAACCCGTATGAGTGTGATCTCACTGAGTGCTCACCGCCATTCCAGTTTTACCCAGGAGGAAACGGAGGCCTAGGAATGTTAAGTAACTTGCCCACATTGCAGTGTGTAAGGGGCAGACAGAGCCTGGATTTGACTTCCAGGGTCACAGTCCTTTTGACTGTCCACTCACTATGCCACCTCACTGCCCCCATGCTGGGGAGCATGCTCTCTTGGTGCATGCAGATCACCTGGTGCCACAGTGAGGAGGCCAGGCAGGGGACAGGGAGCGTGCCCTACTATTTTGGAGAGGGAAAGAATCTTACCACAAGGCATCTTAAAATCCCAAGACTTAGCTAGAAAGGGAGCCCTAGAAAACAGAGTGGGGCATTCTTCAACTTGTTCCACCTGGAACAGGCAAGATTTGGGATGGAAGGTAGGTGACAGGCAGCCAGTGGTCTGAGCAGAGCTCTGCAGGGTCGTAGCTGTGGGACAGGGGCAGAAAGAGTCATCGACCAGGGGAGGCCCCACAGCCCTAGGAATCCTCACCTGCTGGGATGGCGAGGCCCAAGTACGTCAAACAACACTCCCGACAGAGCTTCCTGACCTCTGGCTTTCACATTCCATCACTAATGGAAGTGGCAGTGGCCCTCAGGATGTGTGAGTGGCCAAGATCCTGCCCCAAGGGCCACCATTTGATATGTGCCACCACAGGCTGCTTTCACCTTGAGGTTGGGCACAGAGGAACCTCAGCAGGCAGGTTCCTCCCCCAGCACTCTAGCTTGGCCACTGTCTCTCATATTGCGGTGGTATTTGGCCTCCTTTCCCAGGTGGATTTCATGTGGCAGGCATGACCCAGGTCTTGTCCTCCTGACATCCCCATTCCACTATGGCCCTTGCCAAGCAGATCCTCTCTGGGCTCCCTGCCCACTTCAGGTGGAGGATGGCAGTTCCAACCAAAGCTGCTTGGAGGACCAGTGCATCTCTCAGCCTGTGCTAGGTTTCCATAGGGGTTACCATTTATAAGGAGAGGAGCTCTCCCAAGTACTGTGGGGCACATGGGATTTGTGTTGTTAACAACAGTAAGGTCCCTAGGGCACAGAGCGCCACAGCCTAGGGGAGCCAGGTTGTCAGTGAGAGAGGCTAGTATTAAAAAAGGGGACAGGACATGTTCATGGAGGTCAGAAATTCAGCAGGTGGACAGACCCAGGACATGGTCCAAGGAAAGAAACAGGAAGTCAGAGTTAAGAGTAAAAGATCTTAAAAGTTAATGCAGTATACTGTACACATAATAATTCTTTGTTAGAAAAAAAATGAAAGGACAAAAGCAAGGTGGGGTGGCAAGGTCTGAGGAAGCTAGAGACTAATAGGAATAGCAAGTAACAAACCCTTCCCAGAGGCCAGGGGGAGAAGGGACAAAGTGGTGCAGTTCTGCGAACCGATCTTTCTGAGCCCAGGTCACATCTTGGGTACCGTTGTGTGCAAGGCGTTCAAGACGTTTCAGGGATAAAAATATCCTTAGAACCCACAATATATCAGGCCTCACAGTTTCTGTGTCTGATGGCAGACCCATTGTAGGACACAGGGCCAGGAGGGGGCCCCACCACGCCCTCAGCCTTACCAGAGAGGCTGAAGCTGGACTCATGCAGGTCCCGCATGCCCCCATGTCGGGTGACCGGCCGTGTAGGGGTGTCTGCCAGCGGCGTGCCCATCTCTTTCTTCCCAGGATGCACAACAACTGCAACGTCTCCCAGGTAGGGTGTGCGGTCCACGCCCCTCACCTTTGAGGTCTGGAAAAGACAGCAGCATTAGCAGCCTCCTTGATGGCTGATGGGATGTCAAACGCTGCCACTCTGCTCAGGACCCACGTCATGCAGAGGACATGGCGTTTTGTGCCTTTGAGCCTAGGGAGTAGAGAATTCTTTAAAAATTTTTTATTGGTACTTTTTAGATACACATACAATAACATTCATCATTGATACGGAATTTGTACCCGTACACGATATATCTTGCTTCTTTTTCCCATTTCCCTCCCCTTCCCTCCCTTTTTCCCTTCTTATTTACAAAAGATTTGTTTCCACTTTTTTCTTTCTATTCAGACTAGAGGCCCCTAAACAGCGCATGCGCATGGGTGCCTGTGGTTAGCAGTGTAGGCACATGCGCAGAGAGGCGTGCCCTTAGGGGGCCCCCTCCCATTCCATCAGTGTTATCCCAATGCCAGCTTCCCTCTAATGCTGCCTGGCAACTGTTTGGGGAATAGAGGGAATAGCGGTATTAGTTAGTTCTGTCCTCACAAAGGCAGCAGTGTTAAGGGCTGCCTGGGTTCTCTCCCAATTCTAGCACTTGGGAGCCATGTGGCCTGGGGAGAGTTACTTCATCTGTTGTTTTCTTATGAAATCTGTTGTTGCGAAATCTAAAGACTTGAAATGTGTAAAGCCCTTAGAACTGCTCTGGTCCAGCTCATTCATGGGCTTTGCCATATTGAAAAATGCTCCCATGAGGAAGAAGAAGGGTATTGAAGTATGTGCACAGGTCTGAAGGGGCAGCAGAACTGGTCTGCACCCCGCTCTCCTTAGGGACATGACCCCAACCATGACAGACATCTCTCTGAGAGCAACACATGCGGGGCCAGTTTCTCCAAGGGCCCTCCTCATCTATGACACCAGGTCTGTAGCTCTGCTCCCCATCTTCAGAGCCGGCGCGGAAAGGGGCAGGCCTCGGGCTGGGGAGATGGCTCAGAGGCGTCAGTGCTTACCTGGCATGTGCAAGATCCTGAGTTCACTCCCCAGGGCTCAGGCCTTTCTAGGCTGCATTTGGGGCCCCTGAGCACAGGGCACCAGGCTGCTCTTTTCCCTGAAGGCTTCTATGGTTGCTCACTTGCAGTGTTTGGAAAGTTGAGTTGTATGTATGTATGTATTTATTATATTTTTAGTACAGGGTCTCACTACACAGATCAGACTCATAGTGATCCCCCTGTTTTCAGTCCCCCAACAGGTGTGCGCCACCACACTCAGTCTCAATCACCATCTCAGTGTGCCCCTGGGGTGGGGCCAGCAGCCATGCCAGGGATCAAACCCTGGCCGCTGTGCTCTGCCTAAGCTGCTATCTGGCTGGCCCTTATGTATCTATTTTTTTTTTTTTTTTTTGGATGGGACCGGGGATTGAACTCAGGCCCTTGTGCTTGCCAGGCAAGCACTTATTCCACTGAGCCATCTCCCCGGCCCCTGAGATGTCTCCCTCTCATTGTCTTTTTCTGTACCCCTGAACTCTATTACCAAAGGGCTGTGGCCGAGAACAGAGTCTATAATTGGTTTCTTCCTGAAGATTTTAAATTGTCTTTAGAATAAGTGCTTTAGATAAAGGACCTCTGGATTGAATTTATATCAACCCCTGCATGCTCACTGGAATGTCCTTGTTGAATTTTTCCCCACTACACTGCGTCCTTGTAGATTTTAAGATGGCAGAAGGTTTTTTTTTTTTTTTTTTTTTTTTTGCTCTGAATGCCTTCAGGGCAGGTTTGGCTGGCTTGAGTTCTGGGGACTGAACCATAACAACCTGAGCCTGACTGCTTTGTTGAAGCAGCCACTTAAAGAACTGAGCTAAGAGGCAGGCCCCCAATTTTTAAGATGGGAAAGAGGAACAAAGGTTAACATTTTAGGTACTTAGGTGCTATTCTCACAAAGCTTCCTAAGGAAGCACTAGTGCTACCCTAAGGGGCAGCCAAGGCCCAGATGTGTTAAGCAATTTGCCTGTAGTCACACAGATGGGAAACATCTGGCGATATTGCAAGCCTAACTGTGGGGCTTGCTGGCCAACACTGTAACGCTGCTTGTGGTCTCTAGTGTCAGGGAAGCAGAGTGATGTTCTGCTTATCAATTTCCAGCCTTCCCCCAAAAAACTGTTTCTTTTCCTAATAAAATAATTTTCCCATCTGTCTAGGTTCTTTTGACGTCACCCAACTTTCTGTATTGGGTTTTGCAACAGAAACTCCATCTGGTTCAAAGATCTTCTGTCTGCCTGGAAGTTGTAAGTACAGAAACAAGAGTGCAGTGGACCGTGTCATCGTGGTTCTCTGGGAGGGAAAGGGGCTTGTCCCAGCCTCTGGGCTTTCTGCTAGCAAGTCCCTTTGGGAGTGCGGAGTGCTAGCCTGGGCCAGGGCCATGTCTTCCCCATAGCCAGCCACTGGGAGACTAGAAACTGGAAGCTTCATGACAGCCTCAAGGTCAAAGTAGGGGAAAGAAGGCATCGCTCAAAGGTGGGCATGTGGTCTTCCCCAGAGCAGGTAAGTTAGTGGGCAGGCCCCTGCCCCTGGTGGAAGCTCATGTTCTTTTCACAGACTGTACGGGCTGGGGTGGCCTAGGCGGGGCTTCACACAGGCACTCACTCTGAGCTCCCAGCACTCAGCTCCAGCGCTGCATTTATGCGTCTGCAGGGATGTCCGAAAGAGCTCTGGATTCCCTTTTGCAGTGTTTCTGGGAACAAAGGAAGCAGGTGCCCTCCGTGGTAGGTGGGTTCCGCCCCTGGGAATGAGGTGCTTTGCTTGTCCCCAGGTCACCCCTTGTGGCAGCTGTTAGCTTTCTGAACAAGAGCTCTGGGGCTGCTTCCTCCTGTGGCCTAGCGCCACTGCACCTCAGGCGCTGGCCCAGCAGTGGGTGCTTGGGATCTGGTATCCACCTCACCACTTGTGAGGCAGGGTTTTAAGAAGCTTGAGACACTTATTCTAACCCCTTTCCACCTTATTTTCTGACATATATTTTTAGAGATTGCCATAAACTGTTGCAGATACTTTTTTTCTTTCAAATTGAGATAGAACCAGCACATCATGAAATTCGATTTTAAAGTCTATATATACTGCAGTAGATTTTAGTGGCAAAAGGATGTGTCACTATTGCACTGTCTAATTCCAAAACACATGCATTTTCTACAAAAGAAACCTTACATCCATTAGCAGCCTCTCCTTGCCCTACCCTATAAACAACTCCGAATCTACTTTCTGTGGATTTGTTCTTCTAGACATTTCATATAAGGGAAAACATACAACATATTACCTTTTCTGTCTTTGTTTTTAAACTTAGAATTTGGTTTCAAGATTCATTCTTGTATGCAGGATCTATTGGTATTTTATTCCTTTTTGTGGCTGAATACTATTCCACTGAATGACTATACCACAATTAACTTATCCATAGTCAATACATTTGGGTTGTTTCCATTTTGACTTTTCAAATTGACTGGTGAGAAAAAGAGAAGGTGACCCCAGTTGTGTGGGTGCAGACAGGAATGACCATGTGAGGACAGCAGGAGAAAGCAGTCAGCAAGCTGGGTCACATTTCTCAGGGCTAGAAGTGGCTCAAAGATTATCCTATATACCTTCTCCAGATTGAACCTGGGGCCTCACACTGAGCTACATCCCCATCCCTTTTTAATTTTGAGACAGAGTCTCACTAAGTCACTAACTTGCCCAGGTTGGGCTTGAATTTATGATGGTCCTGTCTCGGCTTCCAACAGTGCCGGGATTACAGGCATATGACACCACAGCTGGCTTCTTCCAGCAAGCCTCCTGTCCACCATCCACATCTGGGAAGCACTGTGGAAGAGGAAGGGACCATTTGCCTACCTGAGTGAGAGACCCTGAGTCTGCATTTTGATTCAATGCTGCAATAACTATAGTTAAACCTTTTCCTGGCACCTAGGCCTATTGCCCTACAGCAGGCCTGGCTTTGGGTTTCTTGAAAAGAAGAGCTCAGGGACTCTTGACAACTCAAGGCCCTGGAGGGTGGAGAGCTGGCAGGCCTGCCTATCAAGAGGCATTCAACAGCCAGAGTCCCAGGGAACTCCGGACTCTCCATTTGCCTACTCCTTTTTTTTTTTTTTTTGTACTGGGAATCGAACTCACGACCTCACACTTGCCACACAGGCATTGTGCCGCTGAGTTACATCCCTGGTCTGTCTGCTCCTTTAAATTCAATCAATAATCAAAGCTGGGGAATGGACACTGGCCCTGCACTGCACTCTCAACACTGCATATGTGGTAATAGGATTGGGTGCAAGACAGAGAAAACATCTTTGAGATTTCACAGGCTGTCTCCCACTCTTCCCACAGCCCGCCTCCCCTTAGCATGGTACCTTCTCTCGCTGGACCAGCTTCTTGTAGACAGTGTCAGGGAAGGACCGCAATGGGCAGAACTTGCCGGTGCCCTCTGCACACATGAAAACGCCGTTCTCGTAGACCACACGCCCCCGGCTGATGGTGACCAGTGGCACGCCGTGGCAGCGCATGCTCTCGTACAGGTTGAAGTCTCCCCCCTGCACTTGGGTGCTGGCAGAGATGGTCCTGGTGGGGAGACAAGGGTGGGCGAAAAAGTTGAAGAGAGGGGAGGACATCCCAGCTCCATGGAAAGGGACAGTGTTCATTGGGAAGGGGTGGACATAAAGGCTGGTTGTTATAGGCTGCATTATGACCCCTCAAAATTCCTGTTGATGTCCTAACCCTAGACCTTGGAATAGAACCATATTTGGAAAAAGGGTCTGTTAAAGTCTGGTGAGGTCCTAGGGGTGGCCCTAATCCCAACTGACTGGTAGGAAGAGGAGAAGGTGACACGAGTTGCATGGGTGTAGACAGGAAAGACTGTGAGGACAGTAGGAGAAAGCAGTCAGCAAGTGGGGTCATATTTCTCAGGGCTAGGAGTGGTGCAAAGATTATACAACTCTGGGGCCCCCAAGTCCCTCTAGTCCTGGAGACCAGCGGCAAACTTACTTTGTGGCTTCTGGATCCCACACCACCACATCTGCGTCAGCGCCAGGGATGATGCGGCCCTTGCGGGGATACAGGTTGAGGATCTTTGCTGCATTGGAACTGGTGACAGCGACAAAACGGTTCTCATCCATCTTTCCTCCCACCTGAAATATTGCAAAAGTGCCAGGTCAAGCAGGCTCTGAATGTGTCCTTTCACTCACCCTGGTCCCCTTGGACTCTCACTTGTCTGAAGAGTACAGAGCTGTCCAAGCACAATCTGAGATGGGTCAGCCCGTGGGCTTGTTCCATGTGGACCTGGTTCCTCTGTTCTCCACCCACAGCAATGGCGAGGGGGCTCTGCTGCCAGAAGATGCGCACACACGTGACCTCTTATACATAACCAGCTCTACGCACGTACCCACGAGGTGTGGGTTGGGGCCTCCCTTCATCTGCACAGGGGCTCACAGGAGTACCCCTCATCTGTGCTAGGTGTGTCCCAAGGCCTGCAGTGGAGGCCTGAAACTGCAAACAGTACTGAGCACTAGATAGACTGTTTCCCTATGCATACATTCCTATGAAAAAGTTTACAAATTAGGAACTGGCAGAGATTAACAACAACAATTAATAATTAAACAGAGTAAAAGTTATCTCAAATTTATGAACTATGCTTTCCTGGAATTTTCTGTTTAATATTTTTAGGCCAAGTTGACCACAGATAATGGAACCACAGAAAGCAAACCTGCCTAAGGGAGGATGACTGCAAACACAGACTGCGGACTGTGTTTGGGGAAAGCATTTTTCTGCCCCATCCCAAGAACTGTGTGGATTATCTTCACATGACATTTCCTGAGCCCGTGTGTGGCCCTTCCCTGAGCAGGTGGCCTAGTGTTAAGGACTTCAAACCTCTTTGTAGCTCATAATCTTTGTTGAGTCTAAACCGTGATAGTTCAAGACCAAAAATACTTATTCTTCATGGGTGGAACAGGTGGTATTCAAATGAAGTTCCAGTCCTTATCTTTTTTGAAATATAATTAGACAAAATATGCCAAGAGCCTTAAAAATGCTCATATTTTTTGGCCCAGAATCCCCTTCTAAGAATCTGTCCTAAAGAATTAATTAGAAATGCTAACATATATGCCTGAACAAAGATGTTCTCCACGGCATTATTAATGTAATAGTTTGAAGCAGACAAAAATTTGGAAAACAGTGAAGAATGACACGATTATGTATGCTACATCCACTAGGGGGAATATGATTCAGCCCTCGCAGAGCTTTCTCTCTCTCTTCCTCTCTCCCCCACCTTCTCCCTCCACCTCCCTCCCTTTCTTTCCTCCCCTCCCTGCCCTCCTTCTTTCCTTCCTTCCTTCCCTCCTTCTTATATGGTAATTATTACTGAAGTCAGAGCTTCACTTTGAGCCATGACTCCAGCCCTTGTTTTATTTTAGTGAGACAGGATCTTACTAAGTTGCTAAATTCTCTAGGCTGGGCTTGAACTTGAGGTTTTATGGCCTTATTCTATCAGCTCAAGATTTTTAGTGTGTGGCCAGCTCAGCCCACCAGGGGGGCGGGGCTGGCTGGCATGTGGGGCTGGGGATTGAACCGCGGTCCCTGTGCTTTCACTTAGCTTGTTCTAAGTAGGTGCTTTAGACCACTGAGCCATCTCACCAGCCCCAGCTCAAGATGTTTTAAAGACTTTTTACTGAAACAAGAAGACACTCCTGATATACTATTATACTTTAGACAAACATGAATCCAATTATTAAAATGATACATACATTGAACTAGAAAAAAATATATCAAAATGTTTTTTAAATTTTTTTTTTAATCTCTTATTCATTTATTTGGTCCAGGGTTTCACTATGTAGCTCAGCTCCTGTCTCAGCCCTCCCAGTGCTGGGATTACAGGTGTGCACCACTATGCCCAGTTTCGGTGGCTGGCATGGTGGCACAGCATATGGTATTGGGGAATGAACCCAGGTCCTTGCACTTGCCAGGCAGGTGCTTAGACCGCTGAGCTATCTCCCTTGCCTATACCAAAATGTTAATAGTTTAATTTTCAGGCATGGAATTACCTGAATTTATTTTTTTTCTTATGTTTTGGTATTTTCCAAATGTTTTTACATTTCTTTTTTATTTTTTAATTTTAATTTTTTACTTCTGATAACATGCCCACATTGTAACAAGGTGTGAGGGAGGCACATCTCATGCATATGACATGAATACCCAGTCACCACACTTATGAACCAAAGGATCTATTTTCCAAATTTCTACAGTATAAATTTGTAATTTTTTTTTTTTACTTTTATAACCTCAGGGAGAACACAACTTCATTGTCCTGTTTTTTGGGGGTTGCTGCGGATGGAACGTAGGGCTTTGTGCATGGTAAGCACATGCTCCGCCACTGAACCACAAACTCAGCCTCTTGTCGTCACTCTTTTTTTGAGTGAAACAGGGAGCCGTGATTGAACCATTCTTCCCAAGGGTGCTGGGCCGACACCTACCACTCCACGCTCCCAGATGACACTCATGCGGTCCTGTACACCACTCACTCCGTGTGGGATTTTAGTGAAATCCTCTTTCCCCATCGCTTTCTGCTTTGTGGTGAATGGCCGATGATCTGACGCCACAATGTTCAGAGTGTCACTGGGAAGAGAGAAGGAAGTGACTGGTCAGCAGAGCAAGGCCAGAGCCCCAGAAGGTAGGGACAGATACAGAAGAAAGGCTGGGCTTGGGAGCCAGGCAAAGTTGATTTCAATCTTGCTTCTGCTACTTAGTAGCTGTGTGACTTCTATTGAGTTACTGCATCTAAGTGAACCTCAATTTACTCACCTGTATAATGGGAATGTGGGCAGAGTGTGCCATGGGAGATTTGGTGATTTTTGAGATACTGGGTAGAGAGCAATTGAACTTCAGGTTTAGCTAAAATAAGATGGTGGAGGTGGTTTTTCTGTCATGCAATCACATGCCAACTCCTCTGACCCCCAGCAGTCCCTGCTGTGACAAGCAGGTGCTTGGTAGACTTCAGTGTTAAGCTTGGCTAAGTAACTTGGAGTTGTAGTCTTTTTCAATGTGGGGCCGCTAGTGGCCTAGAACAGAAGGAAGCACCAGACCGAAGAGCAGTTTGACTTAATGAACTAACACGTCTGTGGGTGGACCATGCATCACCAGTGCCATCCATGACCATAGTCTCAGGTGGTTAGGTGCTAAGTCACAGCTCTTGAGGGCTGCCGGGCTGCCTAGGACTCAGCAGAATGGCAGCAGAGTGCTCAGGCATGTGGAGGCAGACCCTCTGCCAACAGAAGGAGCAGGCAGCAGGTTCAATTCAGAGATATTTGTTGCCGTGGCCCCAGAGACCAGGAGGGACAGAGGACAGTGAATTCCATGCCCCAGATGAGTGCAACTTGAGGAAGGAGGACCCTGGCTGGAGCAGGATCAGAGAAATCCAGTGCCAACTTCTGGGGCCACAGAGTGGGGTCCCCAGAGGTCAGCTATAGGAGTCTCATTGCTCTGATGGTTCCCAGTCAGACCACAGGCATAGGGCAGCCTCCTCTGGACCTGCAAAGCTCACCAATTACATACAGCTCTCATCAAATGGCTAATGTGCTCAGCCAAATCCGCAGTATGATGACAGCTCTTGCTGTGCCATGGGCTGACCTCCCCCTGGGCCGGAACGACAGCGACAGGCCTCTCCCCCGAGCAGAGGGTATTCTGGAGCTCTTGTGGCTCCCTGTCTCCTGCACCTGTGAACTGCCCTCCTCCACCCAGCCAATGGCATCTCTACGGTTCCCTATCTCTTCAGGGACCTCTAGACACCTAGCAAGGCCTGGATCAGGAGGTCCTAGTCATAGGGTCATGGGCCACAGGTTGGGACCCCGAGGCAAGGCTCAGCTCCTATTCTTTAACCAACAAGCCCTACTGAGCACCCAACTTTCTCAAAAGCCGTCCATATAAGTAAGTGCCACCAAGCAGATACAAATAAACATGATTCTTCTCCAGAGGGCTTCTGATGTCTCCCAGTGTGGCTCCAGATTTGAGACAGAAAAGATCCTTCTATACTCTTTAAAGTTAAAACATAACTGTCTTTGTCAAGTATGTACTTTAGAATAGTACTTACATGTTCACATGAAAAAATTTCTTGTTCCTTTAAGAAGTCAGATTTTTAAATAAATGGCAAGCTTTTATTTGTGCAGCTTAAAAAAATATTTGTGCAGCTTGCGTTATTTTAAAAAAGGTGAAAGATTTATACTCTCTGATGAGAAACCAGAGTACAAGCTATATTTTGAAAAGTTCTTATTTAGCCAAAAAACTCACATCCTAAAGTAGAAAATGATGGTGCAGATCGTATTCTCTCTTTTTCATATTCTCTTTTTCTGTCTTTTTTTTTTTTTGCAGAACCAAGGATTGAACTCAGATCCTTGAGTTTGCCAGTCAAGCGCTTATCCTACTGAGCCATCTCCCCGGCCCTTTTTCATATTCTTTTACGGGAATGACCATTAGTATCTGGGTGTTCTATCAAGTATTTTGCATCATATAAATATACTAAAATATTTTGTAAAAACGAAGTTACAGTAATCATAAATAATTAAAATGTTAAAATTATACTCTAACTCATAAAACAGGACATATTTCAATATACACTAATTAAAAAAGAAAATTCACCCTATTCTTTTAACACATGAAATCACAATCTATTTAAATGAACAGAATTTATTTAAGTCATTAAAGTAAGGAGGATAAAGTAAGCTAGATATAAAAGTTAAGTTATTAAATTCATTTTTTTTTCAATATTTCAATTTGCATGAGTTAAGGCCCTATAATTTGGGTGAGTTGGGGCATTATCTTTTTTGTTTTTTTTCCAGTGAATCTGCTTGTAGAAAAAAGGATGTGTTTCAAAAGATGCTCTGACCTTGGAACTGAGCCCAAGCTGCCATAACAGAGCGTTGGTAATTGTTTGCTTTTCTGCATTGATAATGATGAAAAGTAGGTTGTGTTTTCTCAAGGAAAAGCATCTCAACAAGGAAGAGAAGCTCTATTGCTCTCCTGTATCTTGACCTGAGTGTATCTCAACCTAGAATAGTTGCTCAGTATTGCCCACAGACGGTGGGACAGAAGAGCAGAGGTGACTGACACATATGATGAATTTAATTATTTATTTGTGTGTGTGTGTGTGTGTGTGTGTGTGTGGCCAGCTCAGCCCACCAGGGGGCGGGGCTGGCTGGCATGTAGTGCTGGGGGATTGAACCGCGGTCCTTGTGCTTTGCTAACCTTGTTCTAAGGAGGTGCTTTAGACCACTGAGCCATCTCACCAGCCCCACATATGATGAATTTAAACATCCCATTATTCTTGCTGATTCTTGAAGCAGTTTTGGAAGTCCTTCTTCCTTCCTTCCTTAGTACAAGGTCTCACTATGCAGCTCGGACATGTAGTGACCCTCCTCTCTCAGCCTCCCCAGCACTGGGATTACAGGCGCGAGTCACCACACCTGGTTTCAGTGGTCAGCATAACATGCCCAGGGTTACAGGGTGGCATGGCATGTAGTACTGAGGATTGAGCCCAGGTCCTCGCATTTGCCAGGCATGTGCTTAGACCAATGAGCTATCCTCCCAGCCCTGGAAGTCCTTCACGAATGTCTTTAGTTGTCTTTTTGGAGCTGCTTTGATTTCTGAACTGATTCAAAATGTTCACCTTCCATAGTCATTTTGGCTTCTGCCTTCAGAAGTCCCATGATGCCAGATCCAGGGAATAAGGCAGATGTAACAATACTGTAATGTACTGTATTTTTTATCACAACTCATAAAAACATGAAAGAGGACTACCAGAATGGTTTCAGAAAATGGCAAGGATGATGGGATACATTTGTTTGAAGGGGGATTGATTGGCTATATATCTTTTACTGTAATACAATTTTAAACTTTAAACACATACTGCACATTTTGATCACCCCCTATGTAAGTCTGCCACTGCACCAGGGTGTACACTGACCTCCATCCATGGAAAAGGCCCCTCCCCACACTTCTCCTTAGGGCATTACCACATAGGATATTGAGAGGAAACATTCTGGTTATTGGAAACCAGGATTAAAACCAAGGTCAAGGATGAAGTAAGCACCCAATTTTCTAGAGGGGATGGTCACTTCTTTCAACTCACACCACATTAGCTTAGAACAGATGTCTCTGTCTCTTACCCCAGATCTATGAACACAGAGGACAAGTAGGAGCTGAGTGCCAGCAGGATGGAGAGTCCTGGCGTCTCTGTGCCTCCACGTCCCCTGCTCTCTCCTCTGCCCTGAAGTCAGGAGGGCATTTCAGAACAGAGGACAGGTGGTGTGTACCTGCTGGGGCACCGATGGCCCCACCAAGTTCAGGGTGGTGAGCTGCTAGTTACAGGAAGGAGGTGTAAAGGCTGTGTCTTCCTCCCAGCCTAAGCAGAGCTGGGCAGTGGTGGGGAGTAGTCTGGCCTTTAAGCTACAGGATTTAAAAACAATAGTGCTGAGAGAGCAAGGGCCCCTTCCCCAAATATCACAAGGCATGAGAAAAAATCTGGGAAATTACTGGGACAAGACACCTTTCCATGATGGATTCCATAGAACATGGATTGTTCACCCAGACATATGCTTGCTTCAGGTTGGGGTCAATGGGGAAAAGCAGTGCTAAAGAGGAGCTGAGAAAAGGTATCTGCAGGGACGGTGTGGAGAAAAGAGGGAAAAGAAAAGGGAAGGAAGGGAGGAGCACACAGAATGAGAAAGATACAAGCAGAGAGGTGAGAGGCAATGAGAAGAGGGCAAGGTGAAGAGCTAGGAGCACAGGCATCGGCAGTGGCCAGGCCATACCCCACAGCTCCCTGACGGCTCGAGAGGGACGTGTCCGTGTCCCACGAGATGCTCACTAACCACTGATCACAGCTTTAGCATTACCCTTTCCCTTCATGCCGCAGAAGTTCCCCCTCATCGGTGGCCACAGAAGTGCTCTGGGCTAGCAATTATCTAATGGACGCTGAGAAGGTAATACAAGCAAAATTATCCTCTGAGCACAATGCAACTGAGCTGGCTTTGTTTCCTGGGCTCTAGGACATCTTCGTAAGGATGTGCCACCCCAAGAGGTATGCCCTGGGCATGAGCGGCTGCCCTGCCCCGCTGAAGTGCCTTACTTGGCCAGCAGGCTCATGAGGTAGGTGGAGGTATTGGTGTCCAGTCTCAAAGGAGGCACTGTGACATAGGCAGCTGCGTGGGACCAGTCCTGGTGGTAGTAGTGCAAGCCTGTCAGTGTGGCATGTGCAGTGGTGGTCTCAGCCAATACCACCTTCCCTGGAGGAAGAAAGATCAAAACCATAATGAGGAAGCCACTTGACTGAAGAGATAGGGGTAGGAGTGAAGGACAAGAGGGACCTCCAAGGCTTGCTTGGAAGCCGGCTTCGGCATGTAGTGCAGGGCTGGGTTCAAGCCCAGGGACCTTCCTATTTTCCTGCTCACTTTGAGCAAGGGGATCAGAAGCCTGGGCTCTGAGGCCAGGCAGCACTGAGTGTGCTTGGAGGAGGACTCTGGTTTGGCCAGGGCACGGGGGCAGTCAGGAGCAGACAGTGCTGTGAGCAGCTCAGGGAGAACTGGGAGTGCGACCGGGAACAGGGCCAGAGGGTAGGGAGCCATCCAGCAGGTGAGACACAGTCTGGGTGAGACCCCTACAGGGGCTTCCATTAGGGGAGAGGCAAAGGCGGGGTCTCGAGGGTGCCCGTGCCTCCGACTTTCATCTCCCGGACAGTGATGGTGACTTTACCAGGGCCCATTACCAGGCCCTCACTGGCACCGCATGCCCATTACCAGGCCCTCACTGGCACCGCATGCCGGGCCAGACTACATTTGACCACATAGCCTTCGGGCACTGGCAGATCATCAGCACTGAGTCACACCAGTGCCCCTCAGGACTGGGACACTGGGCTCCAGGTGGCTAGAAAGGGAAGTCAGCCACACACATGATTTCTCTAGGGAGTTCCACCCCCACCAGAAACAAAACAAAACAAAAAAACCTCCCAGGGTTTTATGTTGGTTGCCAAGGCAACTGTTAGTAAAACCTAAGACCCAAAATACACTAACTAATGAGCCAATTTAAAACTTAGATAATTTTACCAGACCCAGGCAAGGCGACAGACACTTCTGTAGGGCTGTTACACATGCAAATGTGTGACGGGAAAGACTGGGCTGTCCCGGGCAGAGCCCAGGCTGGGGCGGTGCTCTGAGCGCAGCAGAGAAGTGGGTAGGCTGGGCTAGGGTCCTGCTTAGGAATCACGACATAGAGTGGCTCCGTGCCTCTCTCAGTCTCGGCACCCCACGGAGGGACTCACCTTGCATCTTAGCAGCTGCGATAACGTCACCCGCGGAGATGCTGGACACATTAACCAGGTAGATGGGACAATGAGTCTGAACACAGGAAGAGGCAGAAGTAGAAGTATGAAGCCATAAACTTAACAACCCCAGTATAATCAATCCTTCACCAGCCCCTCCCCCGCTGTTGCTTGCTCCCACCCTCCAGGTCATGACAGTCTCGTCCTGGGAGGCTGGGCTGGCAACCAGAGCACAGGCTGCAGGCTGAGGACCCTGAGAAGCAGGCAGGCGGCAGGGAGAAGCTAGCCCCAGAGCCTGCAGGTAGGCTGGCCTGAGAGGTCAGTGGAGGTGATTTAGACTGTTGAATGTTAATCTCACTTTCTCTCCTAATTTACAACCATGCCTGTAATTCAAAGGGAGGGATTACTTTTTGTATTTTAATTTCCTGTTCATAAATGTGATGACCTAGAGACACGCATGTATTCTGCCCTGTTTCTAAAGTCATGGTGTATGCAGTCTAAAGGCTGTCTTATCAGTAGAACAAAACAGAGGGACTTGGGGTTCAGCATCCAGGCTCTCAGCCACAAACGAGATAATCTGTAATCAGATACCTGGATTGTCAAAGGGACTAGCTTTTCCTCTGCTACTCTTTGTGACCATAGTCCAGGGCTGAACTTCCCTGGCTTCATATTTGAGCTAAAAACCAAGAAGTTGCTTTTGTTTGTTCAGGTCTTTCCTTATTCTGGAGTAAGTTTCCACCAACAAGTAATTGGTAGGTAGCTATTAGTATGACAATGTGACAAAATCCTTATCCAGCTGTTAGACCTGTAAAAAGCTAATAGGAAAGTGTTTCCCCAGAGGTCATCGATGCCTTCTTTACTGATCAAATCAGGAGCACATGTGAATTTAGGAGGTGGCTTGAAGCTTGATGTGCTTGGCCCAGATCGACTGAGCCATGCACTCTTTTCTGAGTCCATAGCTCTTCCTGGGGCTCAAGTGTGCATTTCTTAGGCCCCAGTTCTGACAAGTTATGCAGACACTGCCAGTCCAGGGATCCCACTTTGAAGACCACTGTTCTATTGATGATAACTCATATTATCTAAACACACTGAACCTTTCAGTGATGGTTTGGGAGAAATGACCTGCATGGGTTCTGCTTATAAAGTGCTTCCTTTGCTTGGCTCCTTTGATCCCCAACAGCCTTGCTATGAAAAAAGGGTACTATTTCACTGTCTTTCCAACTTTTCACCATGAAGTAATGGATCAGAGGCTGAGCGACATACATGTTGAAAACCCATGAGAGGGAAAACTCACAGCTAAAGTATTTGGCACCAACTCTTGCTGGTTCCCACCACCATATTCTCTGGGTGCCTTGTTAACCCCTAAGGGACTTTACCCTGAACCACACCAACAAATTGAAAACCATGGTCACAAGTTTAAGGTATGGTTCTCTAAGCCACAAGTCTACCTATTCCTCCAAAAGAAACAGATTCTAGCTGTGGTGAGGTGTGGGCTCTCCCCCACCTTCATCTGCCTCCCTTGGGAGCCATTTAAACTTGAGGAATGCATGTCAGCTTTGGTAGCTTCTGCTCCCTGAAGGGGATGGGACAGAGAGCTGGGGCAAGCAGGATGCCCTCCAGAACCTGGGAGTAGCATCCATTTAGCAAATAGGTCTGGGGCCCAGGAACCATGTATCCCCAGAGCAGAAGGACACCAAACCATGATCCCAGCATGAGGACCAGCCCACTTACCCTATTTGCAATGGTGATGACACGATGAGTGGCTTCCACTTCCAGCTGTTAGAAACAAAGAGCAGGAAGGAACCAAGCTTCATCCTCTCCCTTCATGCCAGCTGCACCTGCCTGAGAGCACTCCACACGGAAAATGCTGGAGTGTCTGACACAGAGCAGGAGGGGCCCTCTGTACCCACAGGGGCTGGCTGGGGTGAGACTTGGGTAAGAGTGTTAAGGTCTAAGCACCTGGACTGCCAGTGGGAGAGTCCTAGGACTTATGAGACCAGGCTCATCTGTGCTGGATGCTACCAGGGCAACAGAGGGAAAACCCAGAGTGTCAGCTCTCTCTGTTCTCTGGTGCATTTTCTCCACAGCCACTTCAGGAACACAGTGACAAAGTAGAAGGACTGGCGCCAAGCTGGAAGCTGGCCTAGCTCAGGGTTTCTGTGCCTTAGCACTACTGACATTGGGAGCTGGATAATCTTTGTAGTGGTGCTGTCTGAGCATTGTAGGATACCGCTAGCATCCCTTGCTTCTACCCACTGCTGTCAGCAACTGCTCCCTCCCAGTGGGGACAGATAAAAAACACCTGTAAATATGGACAGGGTCCTGTGGGGGAGCAAAATCTTCCCTGGTGCAGACTCAGTCCCACTCTAGCAGGTACTGATAGTGGCTACTACTGCTGTCACCATAGCCAAAGCCTTGCTCTTTCCTTGCTCCCCAACAAAGCAAGACTAGACCTGCTCCACACAGGCACTCCCACTGTGGATTTATTTGGTTGAATCTGGTACTTTTTTTTGTTTAACCAATTCGGAGTTGCCCCAACAGGACCCGCATTCAAGGCAGTGGAGGAGGGAGACAGACACAGGGCAGGAGGAAAGTAGTTTGACCTGGCTCATGGGTGACACTGGGCCACGTATGTGTCTCCCAGACATTTAACCACTAACCCTTCACAAGTGGTTTAGAATATCAGAACAGGGTCATGCAGCAAAAGGGCATATTTATCTAATGTGGTTTCTCCAAAAATAATGATGTGGAGCATGAGGGATTTGTGTCAAGGCTCTGAAAACTATATGCAAAGATAAAAGCAGAGTGTGGAAAATAAGAGCTTTTAATTTTCAGTTCAATTGAGTAATAAGGGAAAGAGCACGCACAGGTACGTGCCCCTTGTTTCAGGTGAGAAGGGTCCAAAATATTCCTCAAGTGGGGCTCTCATCCCAAAAATGCTGAGTCCCCAGGCCCTTCCTGTCTCTTTTGTCTCCTGATTCAATTCCGGGTAAAGCAACTGTGGAGTGCTGACATGTTTCCCTTAGAACCTTGACATCATGATCAGTGGTGGTGGGGAAAGATGTTCCCCACAACTGTCTTTTCCAAGGAAGTTAAGGTCAAGTTGGACTAAGCCTGGAGGAAGCTGTTGGCCTTAGTCTTGGGAAACTTCCATATGGGAGGGAATTCTACCCATGGAGAAAGTGATACAACTTATATCTTGGATGTCTCGTCTATCCTAAGATTCTGAGTCTACATGAAAGAAGTGGAAATGGACCCAGGAAGTCTTTCTCACCTCCTCTGGACGGCTGATCTCGATTCCTTCTGGGCCAGTGATACCCAAATCTAATGCCTCCTTAGCACCCTGGAAAAAGAAAGAAAAACTGGGCTGTACAGATAAATGAAAATACTGAGCTGGGCATGATGGTGCATACTTATACTTCCAGCAGTCTAGGAGCCTAAGCAGGAAGATCTTGAGTTCGAGCCCAGCCTAGTCTACTTTAGTGATTTAGCGAGACCCTGTCTCTATAAATAAATAAAGACCAAAGATACAAAAAGAGATAATAAAATATCCTACATCTCCCATGCCAATAGGCCGGCTACCACATTTCACTCCTGTAATAATTATCTTCTACAGAATAAATGCAGGACCACCATGCTCATACTGCTTCTGCTGATACTCATTTTTTTAATAACCAAGTGTATCTTTTCCTCTTAAAATACAGTTCAGTGATTAGTCAACAGGCGTACAAGTGCTGATTGTTGGTTTGAAGGAGTTTCTTCACAGGAAATCTAGACAAATCTATAGCTTCAGCAGGTCCTGGACTAGCCTTCATCCATCACCTAGAACCAAGAAATCAGTCTTCTTGGTACCAGAGAATAAATCTCTATCATGCCGTAGTTCTCTAAAGAGGTACAGGAAGGTGAAAAGAGATTATTTATTCCGTATGTCACATAGGATTTAGTACTCCAAACTCTTTTGCTACACTGACACTTACATATTGTGGCATCAGGGAGGTGGGGGAGGGGTGTAGGGTTGGCTAGAGGGTGATGGATATGATCGAAGTATGTTCAATGTGTACTAACAAAGACACATTATGGCATCAGAACTAAGGCACTGTCACCTGAGACTTAGAAACTTTTTTAGACTATTAAAAGAGATTGGCTTATGTTTGTTTTTTCTATGCTGTAGGAAAGTTCAGATCTTCTGACTAAGACTTGGCCCCTGAGGTGCTCACATCTCAACCGGGGCTAACCTTGCAGGTTCAGAGGACTCCCCTGACTGTGCTACCCCACCCCACATCCTCCATGTCAGACTTGCCTCAGCCACAAGCTCCCCATTTTCAGCATGAACTCGAGGGATTGCCCCAATGTCCTTGCAGGCGTAGAACACTTGGTACAGCTCACTGTCTCGAAGCATGTACAAGTCCTTGTAGGTCATAAACATCTGGAATGAGTTGACGCCCTTCTCCCTCACCAGCGTCTCCATTTCTGCTTTCACCTGCAGAGCAAAATACAAAGGCAATGCCCAGTGTGTACAGATACTCCAGAGCTGCCTGGCAGGTGCTGGCCTGGCAAGATGTGAGTCCATGCCCAACATGGCCAAGTGAGTGACCATGTGACTGCTGCAACCTCCAGAAGTACTTTGAAGCATGTCAGGCATGATGCAAGGATGGGCTAACAGCCTTAGGTTATGGGTATGCTTGTCCTATCACATAGGCTTGTCCTGTGTTTATGCCTCCAAACCAGCATTCTTGGTAAATGCAGGAATAACAATTTTTATTCCTAAGCCCCATGTCTCTCCCTGTAGAATGAAAGAGTGGAAATGGGATTGCAAAGAAGGCATATGGTCAAGGCATTATGCCAAAAATCCAGAGACTGTGCATGCCATGCAGGTCCGGAGCCCTGGGTGCTCTGTGCCAGTCCAGAACTGGGCATGGTGGCACATGTCTGTAATCTCAGCACTGGGGAGGCTGAAACAGGAGGATCACTATGAGTGTGAACTGCATGGCGAGACCCTGTATCTAATAAATAAATGTATTTTTAAAAAATAAAAAAAAATTTAAAAAATCCAGACTCTGGAAGCAAAACACGAACAAAGGTATGCAAATATGGATGATCATCATGATGTTATGTTAGGGAAAAAAACATTGACCTAACAGGAGCAAACAGCTTGAGGTTCATCTACTTGCCAGAACATTAGTAGTTATGATCCTGCAGGTCATGAAGACCACGATAAAATAGAAAATATGCTCAGACAGAGAGTTATTATGTAAAAAAATGTACAACAAGCTAAAGCAATGAGGATGTTATTTATGAGCTTCCTTTCTTTTCCATTTTAAAAATCTATAATCAGAAAACAATTTTTGTTATTAAATTTTTTAAATTCTATATTAAAAGCCCAAAAGTCTTCAGAATCTCTGGTAATTTACAGCAGTTGCCTGGCTTCACAGTGTTGCTGGGAATCTTCTGGGATCAACTAGGCCTGGTCAGTTCCAGCAGAGGATGCAAAGAGGCTCCAGGTAGCAGTCACTGCCCCAAAGAGAGACTCAGCTGAGGCAGTACCGATGAGGAATGCTGGTGGTCAGCCTGGCTTTTGTGGTCAGCCTGGCTTTTGTGGTCAGCCTGGAGCCCAGATGGCCTTCAAGCAGCAAGGATCCCAGGACTCTAGTGCTTGCTATCACTGCCAGGCTGAAATACTGGAAGAGCCTGGGTGAGGCTTGACCGAGCTAAAACTCAAGCGAAGAAGTAAGGGAGGGTATAAATGTTCATCTCAGCAGGGAGCTGGGGTCCACAACTGCGCAACTTTGTAAAACTTACTGCATGCTCTTTTTTTTTGTTTCTGGGCTTAATAAATGATGAATGAATGAATCTTCTCGCGGGAGACTGGGATTGGGGGCCCCATTGAGAAAGAAGCATCCTGAGGGCTGTCTGTACCAGGCAGGGGCCTCAACTCGGAGCTGATAACCAGGATACAGCCCTCTGCCCCTGAGCCTTGCTTGGCCCACCCCTCCACGGTGCGCTGTATTAGCTGTCCCCGTGTGAGCTCCTGAGGCCTGGTTTCTGGTCTTGCTCTGTGTAGCTCAAGATCTCTCTCTATCTGCTGAAAAACAACCTCTTGAAGTTAAGCAGGGCCCACCCACCACCCTGGTGAATCCTGAGTCTTTTTCTTTTGGCAAGCGGGGGTGGGGGGTTATGCTGTTGGTGAGAGGGGGACCCAGAAACGCAAGAGAGCACCAGGTCACTGCTGGCTCAGCCACGAGTCCCTGTGCCACCGGACCACTTGTGCCTTCTTCCCAGATTCCACAGGGCTGTTACCTTGGGCGCCCACCAGGTGATCCCCACATGAAGGGCGTAGTCGCAGCAGACCTTCGGGTCGGCCAGACTCCGGCACTTTTCATAGGCATCCACAAGGGAGGTCTCCTTGTCAGGCAGGACATGGCCAATGATCATGGTGGTTCCTCCAACAAGTGCTGCCTGAGGGACAGGGGAGACAGTCTTGTCACAGCCCAACCTGAACCTGTCGCTGGCCTGGTCCTTAAGTACTTCCAGGATGGTCACAAAGCCTGCTTCACAAGATCCTGTGAGGACCAAATACAGCAGGGTTGGGGAACTGTAATGGGTACATGGAGGTGCAGGAGCCGGCAGCAAACTTGCTAGTTCCTCATCCGGGTTTCAACCTCACATTTGGAAAAAAACATGTTGTGTATTACCAAGCCCAAGGCCAGCCCCTAGTTTCCCAGTGAGAAAAATCTCCACGCAAAACGATTTTCTTGCCAATTGAATATACATATGACTAAACATTAATATAATCTAAAGCATAATCAACATGAATTTAAAATATTTACTTAGTTACAATCACTTATTTAAATCATTCAAATATTATTATTATTATTATTATTATTATTGTATTTTTAGTACAGGGTGTTCAGGGTCTCAGTATACAGATTGGACTTGTAGTGAGTCTCCTGTTTTCAGCCTCCCAAGCGCTGGGATTACAGGCACACGCCACCACACCCAGTCTCAATTGCTGTCTTAGCATGCCCTGGGGGTGGGCCTGGCCTGGCACGCCTGGGGATCGAACCCCTGGTCCCTGTGCTCAAATGTTAATTTGGATATATTGTTTCTTTATTCTCTCACATTTCATGAAACAATTTTACTTGGTTTTTGGGTGTGCAGCTCAGTGGTGGAGCACTTGTCTACCATGTGTGAAGTCTTGGGTTTTACCCCCAGTGCCACAAAACAGAAACCAAAAACCACCAGCAACACACACACACACACACACACACACACACACACACAAAACATGTTTAGATGAAAGCTGAGTGTGATGGCGCATGCCTGCAATCTCAGCACTCTGGAGGCTGAGGCAGCAGGATTGAGTTCCAGGCAGTCTAGGGTATATAGTGAGTCCCAGACCAGTCTGAACTACATAGGAAGACCCTGTCTCCAAAACAAAAACAAAAACTTTTCACACACATTTTCAACATCAGTGTCTTTGTCTTCACTCCCATCTACCTTGCCTGAGATATAGCACATTTTAGATGCATGTCTGATTTACCAGTGAAAAAAGATCCTGTTCATAATCTCCACAAGACTACTTTAAGCAGATATCTTTTAAAAGTCTCACTTGAAATCACAAATTACCCACCACACATGCAGAAAAGTGACTGAATTTATATCCCCCTCTCTCCCGTGCCAATATTTTCTTGCAGTCCCGGGATCAACCTGCTCTACCTCTCTGCTACATCCCCAGCTCTTTTTATTTTGTATTTTGAGGTAAAGTCCAGCTAAGTTATACAGGCTGCCCTTGAACTTTTGATCCTCCTGTTTGAGCTTTCTGAGTAGATTATAGTTTTGCACCATCACACCCATCTCCCTCCAACTTTTTAAAAACTAATTAATCCTGGTGACGTCTCTAGACAACTTCTAGACTTAGCCCTGCCCAAAGGTTGTGTCAAGGGACTGAGTTGTTCCCAGACAAAACTTTGTTATAAAAACTAAAGTAAAAGAGGGCCCCATAACATGACAGCTCCTCAATAAAAGTGTGGGAAAACCTGTCCTCCTACTTGAGTCCTTTCGAAGGCATGAAGTCAAGGTGCCCGGCTTGAGCTCCTGCTCTGCCATCCCCCAGTTGGAAAACCGAAGCCAACCAGATAACCTCCCTGAAATTCAGACTCCTTGCCCATACCTGGGACACCTTCCTGGTTGGACAGTTGGAAAAGTCAAGTAAAACATCATTTATGGAATGGATTTGGCAAGGCCTTGTCCAGATGTACGTGTTTAATTATTCAGAACCCAAGTGCTTATGTTTGCCTTCTGTAACCATGTAAGTGCACAATGAAATTGTCTTCATGATTTCATGCTTCTCTAGTCAGTTAAGTCCTTGACTACTGCTCTGGAATACAGCATTGCTGGGGACTAAAGCACTGAAGCACTAGTTCAGTGGCCAAACAATAGCTAAATGAGAATTTTGTCCCTTAGTTTTCCACTCTGATGTTAGTGGGGGCCAGGGCAGTGACAAAGATGCCCTAGATGGTGTCCAGGAAGCTCCGGGATCTGACTTCTTGCATAGCTTAAGACAACCGACAGAGGGCAGCAGTTCTACGACACACGCAGGAAGGGACCAGGAGGATGGGAGGAGGGTAGATTGCAGTTTACTAGCTGGCTTCTATTTCTGCTTTGGCTGGATCCTGCCAGGCTGATTCATCCCCAGAGCAGGTGGTTGTACTCTATTTTGTCCCACGATGCGTTTCTTGTGTTTACACGTGCGCACGGGGGTGTCTGCTACATGGAGGTTTTACACACCACATTGTTTTATTATTTTTGAGTATTTGCTTGCCTGTGCACGCCCTTCAATACATCCTTAGCTCTGAGCAGAGAAAGGGGAGCCTGCCACAGCACCGTGATAAAAGAGCCCAGACTGTGCTTTATGCTCAAGGATCTCAAGGCAAGAGAGGAAGAAGAGATTCTCACGCTGACCCTCTATAGATAGATAAGAAACCATTCCACAGAATACATTCTATTTCGCTACTCCAGTATGTTCTTACAATGACTCAGAGGACAAGGCCTGAATTTAGAAATTTGGGGTGTCCTTCAATTCTGAGCATGGCTGGCCATCCAGCTCAGTGGATTAAAGCGCCTGCTTAGGCAGGCGCAGGGAACAGCGTTCCATCCCGGGTGTGCTGTGCCGGCCCCGCCCCCGGGCACTCTGAGATGGCAATTGAGAGTGGGCGTGGAGGCGCGTGCCTGTAATCCAGCGTGTGTGTGTGGGGGGGGGGGGTTGAAAACAGGAGGATCACTCCGAGTTTGATCTGTGTAGAGGAACCCTGTAGACCCTGTACTAAATACATAAAAAATAAAAGAAATTCTGAACTGCACTGCAAGGAAAGCTGGCCTCAGGCTCTGTGCCTCCCTGTCCACACCTTCTACTTTTGCCTCATACCTAAACTCCCTGCAAAATGCTGCCGGGCTGTAAAGAGTTCTGGAAGGAGTCTGGCACACTATACAGTGAATGGCCCTAATCTCTCTCTCTCTCTCTCTCTCTCTCTCTCTCTCTCTCTCTCTCTCTCTCTCTCTCTCTCTTTGGTACAGAGTCTCACTACGCAACTTGGACTCATAGTGATCCTCCTGTTTTCAGCCTCCCCAGTGCTGGGATTACAGGCATGCACCACCATGCCCAGACTCGGCGGCCAGTGACTCAGTGCACCTGGGGTCAGGGCCGGCGTGGCATGTGGTGCCGGGGATTGAACCCTGGTACCTGAGCTTGTCTAAGCAGACACTTAGTCCGCTGAGCTATCTGCTGGATCCATAGTCCTGACTTCTGCACTTACTGGCAATAACTCAGGAGTGGCTACCAGAGACACAGAGAGGGGCAGGGGGCAATGAATACCAGAGCATTTGGAAGAAGCACACAGCTGTCTGAGTAATTATTCCGGCAGTTACCCCCGGCCTCCAACCAAGAACCTACCCAGACATACAGCTAGCTTTGAAGTGTGCAGCTCCTGTCCCCAGGAGGAAGGCCCAAGCTCTGCTGTCACAGAGGCACCAGACCTCCTCAGGGTCAACTCACATAGATGAGTGGAGGTGAAATCACGGTGGAGTAAAGCCCAGACCCATTCCTGAGGCTTTCAAATGATTGCTGTTTATGAACTTGCGACTCCATGGCCGCTGAGTGTTCAAAGTGAGCTCTAGAAGGTGTTAACAGAAGTCGGTAAAATGATGTTCCTGGAAGCCACGTTGGGGTGTTAAAAGGGTCAGGTTGCCATGAGTGAGAGAGACAGGATTCAGGATGTGAACATCAGATGCTTGGAACGGTCTAAGCCCACACAAGGAAAGAGCTGGGAGGAAGTACACCAAAACACACACCATGGCCATTTTGGCATAAATTCCAAGCAGTTTATTTTTTATTCTGTAACACTTATTTACTGAGAAGTAATTAATTACTTTAAAAATACATACTTAAAAGCAATATGTTACTTTTATGATATATACTATATACATAAACTTAGAGGAAGATAAAGCTATTTCAAATTTATTTAGCCATGCTTGTATTTAAAATGCTTTACAACTGAGTGTGGTGGTGTATGCCTATAATCCCAGCAATTGGGAAGCTGAGGCAGGAGGATTGCTGTGAGTTACAGGCCATCATTGGCTACATAGTGTATTCTGGGCCAGCCTGAACTACTTAATGAGACACTGTCTCAAAAATAAATGCTTTACAGTTATGAAATGTTTCAGATAGGATAAAAGTACTATAAATAGTAGCAAATAAAATTAAAGTATGGGAAAATAAAAATAAAAGAATATAACAGATATTTCACATGCCCCCTTCTCAAACTCTTAATTCTCCTGCCTCAGCCTACCAGCTAGGTGGGATTACAGCTGTGTATGACCAAACCCAGCTCACTCTATCTTTTCTGAGGTTGATACAAATTCCTCCCACCTGTATTTTTATTCTTTCACTATGTTTGGCTTGTGAATTAAAAAATTTTAGCCAAGCACAGTGGTGCATTCTTATAATCTTAGCACTCTGGGAGACTGAAGCAGGATAACAAATTTGAGCCCAGACTTTGAAATTTAGCAAGACTCCATCTTAAAATAAAAAATCAAAAGAAGGGGCTGTGTTGTTGCTAGTGTGAAGGCCCTGGGGTCAATCCCCTAATGCTGCAAAAACAAAAACAACATAAATAACACTAATGGTATCAAATTGTCAGTGTCCTTTGGCAACGTGTTTTGTTTTTGTTGCTCCGGACACTTTCTCATTGGGTGCCTGAATACGCTGTGTGTGTGTGTGTGTGTGTGTGTGTGTGTGTGTGTGTGTGAAGAGGGCCCATACTTACAGTGTGCGCTGCCAGGAAATGGAGGTGAAGCATTGAGGGTCCCCCCCAACTATCCCAGCTCCGTCCCTGAAGGAGCTGACCTCACTGGGCCCTCCTGGGACCTGATGGCTCACTGCGCTGCCCGATTATCACAGC